TCCTTGCACCCCTAACCCTTTAGAAAAAAAAGCCCCAGGAGTGTTCAAATTTGACAGCTTTAAGACTTGTGGACTTCAACTCCCAGAATTCCTCCTTTCGCTCTTCATCTTAATGATGTGCAGACGGCAGAGGTGGGTTCCTACCAGTTCGCACCTATTCGGTAGAACCGGTTCGTCAAATCTACCGAACTGGTTAGAAGAGGTTCCACCAGTGGACCCAGAAAGCAGGCCACACCTACAGAAGAGGTTGCAAATTTTTTTGAAACCCACCACTGGTGGACGGGTGGGGGAGGGAGCTGGAACCGGTTCTAAACGGCACTGTAGATTTGTGGAACCTCTTCTATAGAAGACGTTAGAACTGGCAGGAACCCACCCCTGTTGAGTGGTGCACTGGAATGCATTTTCAATTTATCTGGAGGAGCCCTAAGAATCCCAACCAAAAATTCATTGGAAAATGCAGAAAAGGATCGCCTACAATGCATGAGCATTAGCTCTTCGACTAATATACTACTTCATCATGCTTTACAGTTCTCTCTAAGCAGTTTACAGAGCCAGCATATTTTCCCCAACAATCTGGGCCCTCATTTTACCGACCTCACAAGGATGAAAGGCTGAGTCAACCTTGAGCCATTCAGGATCGAACTCCTGGCAGTTGGCAGAGTCACCCTGCAATACCGCATTCTAACCACTGCGCCACCAAGGCTCTTACGATCATGAGCCTCTCCTGATTGCTCTGCGGAGACCATATGAAAGGAGTCATATATGACAGCAGAAGATTTACAAGCTTATGGTAAAGGATGTAAACAATAACCAGTAAGATGTCAAATATCATCTGTGTACGATATTTCAACACAGACACAGCTTGCCATTCACTGATCCTTAGACACAGTGCAGTTTGCTTTGAGAAGGTTTGAAGGTGGATGAAATATTAGGACTGTGCAATATTTTGGGTTCGAGGCTTCGGGCAACATTTGTCTGCAACTCTTTAAAGCTATATCTTTTCTTGCGGTTGCATCAGTGGTGGGATTCAATTTTTTTTACTCCCAGTTCTGTGGGCAGGGCTTGGTGGGCATGGTATGGCTTGGTGGGCGTGGCAGGGGAAGGATGCTGTAAAATCCCCATTCCCTCCCACTCCAGGGGAAGGATACTGTAAAATCTCCATTCCCTCCCCACTCCAGGGGAAGAATACTGTAAAATCTCCATTCCCCCACTCCAGGGGAAGGATACTGTAAAATCTCCATTCCCTCCCCACTCCAGGGGAAGAATACTGTAAAATCTCCATTCCCCCACTCCAGGNCGGCTTTGAAACAGAGATGAGCAGCGCCCCCTAGAGTCGGGAACGACTAGCACGCATGTGAGAGGGGAACCTTTACCTTTTTTCAACTTTCTCTTTGCCCAATGCCCGAATGCAGGTAGTCCTTGACTTACGACCATTTGTTTAGTGACCGTTTGAAGTCACAAAAGAACTGGAAAAAAGTGACTTAGAACCTGTTTGTCCCCTAATCAAAATTTGAATATTTGGCAACTGATTCATATTTACGATGGAAGCAGCTCCCAGGGGTCACGGGATCAACCTTCCCAAATGGCTTCCTACAAGCAAACGCTTGTGTGTGTGTGTGTGTGTGTGTGTGTGTGTGTGTGTGTGTGTGTAAGTCAGATTTGCTTAATGACGGCATCATTCCTCTGAACAACAGCAGCGTTTCGCTTAACAACTGTGGCAAAAATGGGACAAAACTCATCGGATTTGCTAAACAATGGAAATGTTGGGGCCTAAGGAGAGAAATACCTGTACTTGCCTTCTTGGGTAGCTGGCTCTCAGCCCTGAATGCCAACGACTTAGAAGAAGAAGAAAAAAAAAATCTTATTTCTCTCGACTTGGCCTGGACTGACCCCCGCCGTTGCTATCTTACCTACGTTCCCGAGAAAATAAATCCTGCTTCCCCTTCCTTCTTTCTTTCTTTCCATCCCTTCCAACCCCAGAGAAAAGCAGCTCAGCTAGCTTAATTCGGCAGGAGCTGATCGCGAAGGCAAAAACAATCCGAAACCGCAACCGTAAAGTGAGCGAACCCTGGGCCAAACTTTGACGACGCACGATGCCTGGACCTCAGCTGCCCCGTTTGCTCCTGAGAGGTGCAGGGAAAGAATTGGAGTGGAATCAAAACACACCCTGGGGTGACAAAAGAACAACGCGCAGTGGGCAGCCGCTGAATTTATTTGCCCAGCCGGCAGGAGAAACGAGGAGTTTTCTCCCGCCACTGGTTTGCATTTCAACGCCGGAGCAGATGGGCACGCCGGGAGTCCGGTTGGCATTGCGTAACCCACTGGATCTCCTCCGCCACATCCTCCCTTCGCTCCGTCTTCGTTCAGGTCCCACAAAGTAGCCAGGACGGACGTTTCCCCATCGGTGAGACAACTTTGCTGCCGACGGAGTCTCTCCGTCATCAGGGCGGTGTTTTCGTCGAGTCTACCTCGTGCCACCCAAGCCCGCCATGCCGTTTGCCGAACTTCTGGACCAAGTGGGTGGTATGGGACGCTTCCAAGTCTTCAACGTAGCCCTGCTGTGTTTTCCGATGCTCCTGATGGCAGCTCACAACCTCTTGCAGAATTTCACAGCCGGGATTCCCGGGCATCACTGCAGGGTGGCGCCAAGCAAAGGGTGCGCCGACGGGAATGCCACGGGAAACGCGGATTGCCGGGCGCTGCTGAGGGCGTTCATCCCCCAGGATGAGGCCTGGAGGCCGGAGAAGTGTTGGCGTTTTGTCACCCCCCAATGGCAGCTGTTGGAGTTGAACTCAACGGGACGGGAGCCAACGGAGGCCGAGCAGGAGCCGTGTCTGGATGGGTGGACCTATGAAAGGACAGTCTTCACATCCACCATTATAACCGAGGTAAGAAGAATGCTCGCTTATTGACGTGGTGGAAGGTCGCTAGGCTCCTCCTTAGACATATTAACAGAGTTGGAAGGGACCTTGGAGGTCATCTAGTGCAACCCATTGCCCAAGCAGGAGACCCTACACCGTTTCTGACAGAGGGCAGTCCAGTCTCTTCTTNTTAGATCTGGACCGCTCCGAGGTCCCTTCCATCTCTGTTATTCTATAATCTATCCTACATTCTATTCATCTGGCCCGCAGGGTGCTTAGATCTGGGCTGCAGGACCGCCCTGAAAACGGCGAAGGACTGGCTCCCGTGGTGCCTCTTGCCAGTGAAAATGGAGCTCGGCAGGGCTCTGCGTGGCCGAAAACAGAGCCGGGTGGGTGGGTGTCGTGCACGCCTTTTCCCCCCTCACCCCCAAGCTCCATTTTTGCTAGCAGAGGGCTAGCAAAACTCACTAAAAACAAAACAAAAGGAGAATGTTTCCCCTTTTTGCATTTGAGCCTGCAAGAAGGGACAGGGAATAGAAAGAGGAAAGGCAAAGAAAAAGAAGGGAAGATGGGAAGAGAGCAAGGAAGGAAAAAGAAGGGAAGAGGGGAAGGGAGGAGAAAGGAGAATGAAGAGGAAGGGAAAAGAAGAAAAGGAAGGAAGGAGGAAGAATGAAGAGGGAAGGGAAAAGAAGAGAAGGAAGGAAGGAAGAAGAAAGGAGAGTGAAGAGAGAAGGGGAAAGAAGAGAAGGAAGGAAGGAAAGAAGGAAAGAGAAAGGAGAATGAAGAGGGAAGGGGGAAGGGGAAAGAAGAAAAGGAAGGAAGGAAAGAAGGAGAATGAAGAGGGAAGGGAAAAGAAGAGAAGGAAGGAAGGAAGGAGAAAGAAGAGGGAAGGGAAAAGGAGAAGGAAGGAAGGAGAAAGAATGAAAAGGGAAAAGAAGAAAAGGAAGGAAGGAAGGAAGGAAGGAGAAAGGAGAATGAAGAGGGAAGGGAAAAGAAGGAAGGAGAATGAAGAGGGAAGGAAGTAAAGGGAAAGAGGAAAGACATGAGAAAAAAGATGGGAAAATGGGAAGAGAGTAAGGAAGGAAAAAGAAGCAAAGAGGGGAAGGAAGGAGAATGAGGAGGGAAGGAATGGAAAGGAAGGAAGGAAGGAAGGAAGGAAGGAAGGAAGGAAGGAAGGAAGGAAGGAAGGGGAAAAACTAACGAGCATCTCACTTAGCAACAAAATTTTGGAGCTCAGTTGTGGCCGTAAGCTGAGGACTGTCTGTAATCTCTTCTTAAAGTCCCACTTAGCACTTCACTCCTTGTGGCAATGCCATGTTCTTCCCAAGGCCAGTTCTCCATTATTTTCCCCTAAAAAGGTTGGAACTCTGATCTGGTGGGGATGGGGGACTCCCCTTCCTGGTCTCCCCAAGGTAGCAACCTCCTGTGGTCCTTGACCCGCTTGGCGCAGACATGATCAGCCGGGCGCTGGGCCCCGAATTCGGCGGAAGCATTGGCCTCATGTTCTTCTTTGCCAATGTCTGTGGCAGTGCCCTCTACATCTTGGGACTGGTGGAGGCTGTGGTGGATGACTTTGGCAGTCCGGCAGGTGAGATAGGCTCAGCCGAGGCAGCCCTTTCCCTGTTTCCTGGTGGGCACATTTGATGCAAAGGTCCAGGTTTTCAGTGGCGCCCACCGTTTTCATCAGACACGGGTTTTTTTTTAAAAAAACACCAACCCTGTGAAATTTATGAGAACTTCTGCCTTTTCATCGAATTTGTTCCTTGAAAAGGTACCACCAGAATCCCTCAAACTGTTGGCCACCACAAATGAACATGGCTACCTTCCAAATTCCCCAAATTGAGAGATTTGTAAGACCATTAAAAGAAAGAGGCCGGACTAGCGGGTATGTCTAGATCAGGGGTCTCCAAAGGTCTCAACTTTTAAGACTGGTGGACTTCAACTCTGAGAATTAAAGGCTTGCTGAGGAATTCTGGGAGTTGAAGTCCACAAGTCTTAAAGGCTGTCTGAGGAATTCTGGGAGTTGAAGTCCACAAATATTAAAGGCTGGCTGAGGAATTCTGGGAGTTGAAGTTCACAAGTCTTAAAGGCATTCTGAGGAATTCTGGGAGTTGAAGTCCANTCCAAACAACCAAGGGAGTCATCCTGCTGTCAGATCACAGAAAAAAAGAAGGATACTGTGCCAGGAACACAGGAGCAGCAAAAATAGCTTGTTGCCCCCTCCCCCCCAAATCAGATGCTTCTCTTTGAAGAGAAAAGCATTGGGTTTATATAACATCCAACAAATGGCACACTAGTATTGTGAGGCACAAAGGCTGATGTTTATAGCAAGAAAACATATCATCAGTGTCACCATTTCCCTCCATTCAGGAGTGATTCTTTCCGGTTCTTCCTCCAAGAACTACAATTCATTCAAACCAATTGGCTAAGTGTTACATGAGTTTGTGATTTATCAAGAGAAGGAAAAAAAGTGTCAGAGCGATACCTGAAGATTTTTTTAAAAAAACCCAAAGAGAAAAATAAGTCCATCAGTAGGGATAGGTAAAATTCTCTAATTTAGGACATCACAAAAGACTCTAATTTAGGACAGCATATGACATAGAAAAGTGAATTTGGAAGTGAAAAAATAATCTGCCTACAGAGAGTTCAACTAAATCCATTAATTTCTCCATATCTGGTCATCTCCCCTTTGGGTACCAACCATTTTCATCATCCAGATGGCCAAAATGGGGACTGGCTGCGCAAATAAATCACTTTGTGAGGTCAACGGGTGTTTTAATGTAGCTGTACAATTTGGGATGAACACCCTTTGTGTGGGAGTAGGAATGGATTTCCCAAGAACAATATTGCAGACTACAGGAACCAAGAGCACTACTCAGGTGACCCTGAGAACACAAATAAATCGCCAAGTGCTTCAGTGACCCCCTAAAAGGATGCAAATGACCAGCTGTCTGCCAGGAATATAAATTCCTCCATTCCCTACTATCCTGTCAGAGCTGAAGAAGTTTCTTGGATGAGAAGCATAACATCTTCAAAGAAAAAACAAGAAAGTCCAGTTGCCTCCTGAAAAAAGCACCTTTGGGACAACCTGGATGACTGAGAATCTCTACAGACCATTAAAACCTATTATTTTCTATGTTAGATTTAGATATGAAAGATGAGAGGTCACGAGTGCTTCTCTCCTGCTAAGTCCAAACTCAAGGCTCTGTATTTTCCATAGTCCACAGGAAGCAGGTAGTCAACATTTTAATCAATTAGCCATGGTAGCGAGGTGGTTAGTATGCAGCATTGCAGGCTAATTCTGCTGCTTTGCAGGGGTTCGATCCCGACCAGCTCAAGATTGACTCAGCCTTCCCTCCTTCCAAGGTCAGTAAAATGAAGATCTAGATTGTGCAATTATTTGGAAAGTGAGGACATTGGTCATGAGTTGAAACTCTGAAGCAGGTTCAGCCTCTGCCATCTTTCACTCAGTGAAAGCTCTCTATTTGTCTGAAGCAAAAAATTCTAATTTAGCTGAGCTGTGTTTGAGACCTGTGTCAAAGCAAGGACAGAAGTTAAGCGTCTGAAGAGCTATCATTTACTGCTGAGCCCTTGTATGAAGTCTGACGATGCAGGTTGAGCTGATGGGAATTATAATCCTGATTCATGGTTTTAGCAATTTGACAATAAATAAATAAATACAAATTTCATCACAGTGTCAGGGTGACTGCTGAAACATCAAAATGCAAAACTTTTGGCACTCTTATTAACCACTTTAGAGTTAGAAATAATAAGATGAGAAGACAGCGGTGCACAGATTCATTTGCTTTGCGAAGCGAAGGCCACACTGCAAAAAAAAATGAATTGGACCCAGTACATTTATTTATTTACTTATTATTTATCAGAACTAGGTCCCATATTTTATAGAGAAGCTCAAGGCAGTATATACAGTATCCCTTTTTCTGGTTTTACCTGACTTCAACAGCTCTGTGAGAGAGAGACTTGCCCAGAGTTACTCATTGAACTTTTAGACTCAAGAGTGGATTGGTGCAGGGGTGAAATCAACTTACCTTCACTACCAGTTCGTAAATGTGAGTGTACACGCCATCTCCATGCATGTGTAGGACCTTCCGCGCTTGCGCAGAGCATAAAAAATGGGACGTGAGGACATCTGGGTGGGCGAAGTCTCCTACTGAGTGCGCCTGCAAAGGTAAGTAGAACAGCAGGGGGGAGGCAATCTGCTGTGCCACGTGATTTAGATTAGCTATAAAGCAGGAAATCCAATGATTCTAGCTAATATAAATCGCACTTCACAGGCGAACTTGTTCGAACTGGTAGCATTTCACCCCTGGATTGGTGCCAGTCCAATACCTTCATCATATGCCAAATTGGTGCTCACTCACTCTCTTTCTTAATAACAGATTTGTGGGAAATAAATGCTTTAAGTATCTACAAATCTTAAGGAAACCATTTTCCTTCTTAAATTCCCACTATCCTGCAAAGTGCAAAAACAATTACATTTTTGACCCTACTATTCTGAGAAAGGAACTCTAGGGCTTGAAAATGAGTGCTGCCCTACTTCATATGATTTTCATTATGAGATCACTGGTGAATGATTGACAAGTCTGGTCTATTTCTGAATGTGTCCTTTAAATAATGTCTTTTATTTGGGAAGGATCACTGAAATGTCAGTCATTTTCTTGGGGGACATATGGGAGAACGTGGACAAGAGACTCCATCATTGTTGTAAGTAATCTCTTCCAAGCTGTCATCACATCCAAGGTGTCATTCTTTTGTAAACTCTGCCTATCCAGAAGATAACAACTGATTGAGTATACTATATAAAACACTCAATGCATTCTCTACTTAAATGCTGATGACAGAAATAGCAGCAGAAGTGACTGATTGAAGTCCAGTGAAATATTCATCCTCTGCTTAGCCTTTGGTAGCATATCTCAATCTAAATAAAATCCAATGGAATATATCCACATTCATGTCATGATGCTTTTTCCTTCTCCTATTTTTCCTGCTTTGTTTTATTCTTATTTTCTCAGAAACATTACTACTCATTTTTCTTCTACACGCAACGCTGTAAAAATTAATTTAGATATTCCTTGGGAAATGGTTTCTCTTTTATTTATATTAGCCTGCAAAGTGTCATGGTTTTGGGAGAAAATAATATTAAGTCTCTCCCAATATCAATACTGTGAGATGTAATTAACATAAATCCATACCAGATTGGTCAGTATGCCCTTGGTCAACAAGGACCACACCAGTGACGTGCGGTGAGGTTGATACCTGGTGAGGCTCAGCAGGGCAGCGGTCGGCCTCAGCAGGTATTTGCATCGCGGGAGCAACCAAGCGCCCGGGTCTGCAGCAAAGGCACTTGGTGGCTCCCGCGATGCAAAGTGCCCGCTGAGGCCGACCGCTGCCCTGCTGAGCCTCACCAGGTATCAACCTCACCGCACGTCACTGGTGTGGTCCTTGTTGACCAAGGGCATACTGACCAATCTGGTATGGATTTATGTTAAT